GTCTGGAGTCGAAATGGAGGTGATTTTCGTTATCAGCACACAAAAAACTGTTGGGATCAACATCAAAATCAATACAAAAATTTTGGTCCAAAATTGGTCAAAATTCGGTAATGCGTGAGTTTGGGAAAAATTTGGAAGTCATTTTTGAGTTCAGCGCACCAAAAACTGCACGAAACAATATAAAACTCGATTTGAAAATTTTGGTCCAAAATGACCTAATTTGGGATGAAAATATTAGTCTGGAGTCGAAATGGAGGTGATTTTCGTTATCAGCACACAAAAAACTGTTGGGATCGACATCAAAATCAATACAAAAATTTTGGTCAAAATTTGGTCAAAATTTGGTAAAGCGTGAGTCTGGGAAGAGTTTGGAAGTCATTTTTGAGCTCAGCGCACCAAAAACTGCAGGAAACAATAAAAAACTTGATTTGAAAATTTTGGTCCGAAATGACCTGATTTGGGATGAAAATATAAGTCTGGAGTCGAAATAGAGGTGATTTTCGTTATCAGCACACAAAAAACTGTTGCGATCAACATCAAAATCAATTCAAAAATTTTGGTCCAAATTTGGTCAAAATTGGGTAAAGCGGAGAGTCTGGGAAAAATTTGGAAGTTATTTTTGAGTTCAGCTCATTAAACACTGCAGGAAACAATATAAAACTCGACCTGAAAATTTTGGTCCGAAATGACCTAATTTGAGATGAAAATATAAGTCTGGAGTAGAGATGGAAGTGGTCTTCATAATCAGCACTTCAAAAACTCCAAGAATCAATATGAGATTCGATTGAAAAACATTGATATCAAATTGATCAATAATGGGTAAAGAATGGGTCTGGGTTGGTCTTCATGGATCACTCTTTGTCGTCACCAATACCCTGATGCCACACCAATGAGATTCCTTCAGTCGAGTAACATTCCATTGCCACCATTGAATCGCTTACTTAGCTACTCGTCTGATTGACTCACTATTCGATACATCTTTTTCTTCAAACTACTGAATTTACAAATTTATTAGTTATATTTGAGAAGCCTTTTGTCATTCTTTCATTTTAAACCAGTGAATTAGACAATATAGACTGGAATATGTAATCATAGTTTATATTAAGTGACTCAGTTTAGGGCAGGCTGATCTGAAGCATTCGACGGAGAACAAGTTTTGTCAAACTCAGTGAATCGTCTCATAAAGTCAAATGCAGACGCCACTTGTTGCTCAATACGCCAACATAATTTACCTTATTCATGCCTCGTGATATTTTATCTTGAGGGTAAAAGAATACAGTATAGTATTAACATTGGGCTTGCATTCAGAGAGCCAGCTTTTAAACCATTACCAATACTTAGTTTCAGTTGTCGGACACAAGCTTTGGTGAAGTGAAAGGAATCGTGTCATTAAATCCAATTACCAAGTCAATCACAGCTCAAAACCTAAATCGTCTCATTAAACCCAATATCAGTTCAAAATCTGTTAGCACTAAATATATGGATTATTAATTGCACTAATTACATCTAATTATGGATTCTTTGGATCAATAGATTTTAGTACTAGAATATTAATGTTATCTTGCAGCATTGCAATAGAATGTTATTTCCCGAGAAAAACCAAGACAATTAACATGTCTTCTAATTTCAACAGAAGTTATTCATGCATTTACCTGATCAGATTTTCTATGAAATTTAAAAATAAGGGCAGTATTAGAGAGAATAAAATCAGTAGATGCACACAAAGGCAAACATTCTATTTACAATCCACAACTACACTCACAGTGCACTGACCTGAAGGAAGTTTCCCCCTGTGAGGGGGGAGGGGGGAGAGGGGAACGAAACACGCAAACCATTCTCACATTCAGTTTTCGTATTTTCCTCTGTTGACACTCCGGAAGGGTTTCAATCATTCTAGAATGTTAAAAAACTATCTCAGAACCTATTTGAGAACCCCTTTGCTCTTTAGTTTGTTTATTTGCATAAGTGCCGTCCCGTCTTGCAGACGGCTTGCAAGCGCGGCAGCCGGTATGAGAAATTGGTCAGCCAGACACTGCTGCCAACCTAACCACGCTAATTACCTAGTTCAAAACGATGTTTTGAATATTTCAAACGATGATAATTGTTAATCTGAGATAAACTCCCCCTGTAGGATGTTTAGGAGACACCAGGTGTGAAATTTGGATACTATTCGTTCAGTAGTTGCTGAGAAACGTGAGTGATTACATACAGACGGACAGACAGACTCACGACCAGTCACTTTTTGGAGCGCCCAAACACGGCAAGGGCTTCGCTATCGCTCAGCCAAATGAACCTCCTTCGCCAGGCCGTGGCCCAGCCAGGCTAGGCCCTGCTACAGTGCTGCACAGACAGGCATAGCTTAGCCGAGGACCGCACTAAAGTGCGGCATCACCGCAGCAAGTCGTACATTGGAAAAAATTCTCAATCCGAGGTTGCAGTCCTCACCTTAATGAAATCTCCTCACCTTATCCGAGAGCGTCTCTTGATAGGAAACAAAATACTATCGGATTGACAACTCATTTTTTTCAGTGACCCGGTTATAATTTTATTCACCCTGGTTAAAAAATTTGAAACAAAACCAAATTGGGCAGTGTAGTACAGCATCGTGGGGTGACGTCACGCGCGGCGCATCCCGCCGCCACACCACGCGCGTGCGCCATCGCCCACACGGCGAACAGCGCCGCGCCCGCTCGCGCGCACGCCCACACTCGGACCTACACTCGCAGACACTCTCCCGCCACCTGCCCTCCATGTTTTCCCGCGCCTTGGTTCCCACCCATATCGGACTATCGGGACCCCCAAGGTCGGGCCCGTCGGGCCGGGGTCGGGCGGTGAAGGCCTGACCCGTGCCGGGACTCCACGGCGTCCCCTCACCGTGAATCCACCCGCAGACATTCCACCCCCACGGCGACGACGTCCGCGACGTCCGCGCCAACGCGGAGGCAGCGCGCCGCGCCGGGACTCGCTGCTCGCTCCCATGCTGGTAGCCCGAGTGGTAGCCGGAGCCGAACGTGAGAGAAAGAGAAGCAGGCCGCCTCCGAACCCAGCTTCGTCTCTCTGTCTCTCTCGTACCCCTTCGAGCCGCACCGTGAGTGCGAGAGAGACGGAGCGATGAGAGCAGTGCTCGGAATCGGCCTGCAGGGAGCCGCGTCGCGTGTAACCTACTTCGCTGGCCGGATTTCTGGATCAGGGAAAAGTTGTCGTGCGACGTGACTCAAGCTGTGTCCGACGGCAAAGGAGCCTAAACTAAAACGAAGTAAATGTAGCGAAAATTATACAATTAAATGAAAACACGCTTTGATGAGGTCGTGCTCACGAAGTTGATTTCGTTTCTGTTATAGTTTCCCAAAAGATTCAATTTCATCATCGTGAAATTTCAATGTCAGAGGGCAAATTTAGGCAGTCGGGGAGCCGACCTGCCCCAGTAAGAAGACCTGCGCCACCCGGACATTGCCGCACTGCCTGTAACGCTAGCAATCAAATCGCGTAATTTGATTAGGTTCCAGCGCGGCGCGGCGCAGCGCGGCGGGGCGAGGATGGACATGAGGCTGCGCCGCCCCGCACCGCCCCGCGCCACGCACACTGGTTAGGGCGGCGGGGCGGCAATGGAAACAGACGTCACCAGTTTTACTTCGGATAACTGAGTGGACGGGGCAATCAGAAGGACACCCCACTTCCCTCTAAACCAGCGGTTTTCAACCTTTTCTGACTGGTGACCCATTAATGGCGGCCTGAACTTATTGCGTGCCCACAGCCGAAACCTGAGGGAATGCTCTTGGTCTGGGCTAGGGAAGCCCTATCTGGCCAGAGGCGATCGAGTTCCCTCGTCTCTCTGCCCTGTTACGTCCTCTCTCCGTGTGAAACTAGCCTCCGCGTTGCCAGGACCACATCTCCCGATATCTGACCGTCGGTTTTCGCACGCCACAGATGTGAGCTGTGCAGCTGTGGTGGCCGGCTAGTCCCTTGGAGGCGGCCTCCACCGGCCTTTAGCCCTCGGCGACGTCTGCCGTCTGCCCGCCCCGGCCGCCCCGGGTCGATGCGAGGACGGCGAGGACGGCGTCGTCGCGGCGCGGAGGGCGAGCAACAGGCCAACAACAGGTTGGGCGGTGCGACGCGGTGCGACGCAGCCAGCAGTGCCCGGTAGCTCTGTCTCCCTCGCACGCCGTGCGGTCTTCGGGACGCCCCGTGAGTGCGAGGGAGACAGAGTGCCGGAGCAGGGTCGCGGCGTCTCGGCCCCGTGCGCCCGCGGGCCGGAGGATAGGCAACACGCCGTGCAGGGGCGCCCGCCTCACCTGCAGCAGCCTACCTGCCGGGCGCTTTGCTGGCCGAGAGTGCGGGGCGGGCTCACAGCCTGCACACCGTGATTGACCCCAGCAAAGGCACGCGAGAGGAAGGCCCAAAGACTACAGCCCCGATCAGACGCAGTGGCCGCCCAAAGTCGGCAAAAGCCACGATTGGCCGACATTTGTCGCCGTTTTGCCCAACTTTGCAGCAACACAGCCCCATTCTTTTTCTTTTTTTTTCGCGTCCAGGGGCATAATGGTGACGGGGGCGACGCGGACAGACGGACAGACACATGCAGGCGGACGGACGGTCAGACACGCCGACGAACGGACAGGAGGCAAGTCAGGCGGACAGACACGCCGCATCCGACGCCCGCATGTCCGCACGTCGAGCCGGACCGAGCCGGCCGCCGCCGGGCAGGCCGGGCAGGCCGGGCACCGCGACGCCGTCAGGCCGCCGGGCCGTCGCCGCGGCCGTCGTCTGCTAGCTCTGCCAGCGCGTCGTCGGTGTGCTCCCTGCTCCGCGATTGGCCGCCGCCGACTCCCTCCGCCAGGACGGCCCGGGACGGCCACGCCATTGGCGGCCGCGGCCCCCCTCCCCCGCCGCTTCTGGTGGCGGAGCGGCAGAGCGCTCCGCGTCGACCGAGGAGGTAAAATGATAAAATATAAAGTGGTGCGGCGGGGATCACCAATTCTCACTTGATTCGTTTGATTAAAGCAGTGAACGTGCTTTCAATTCCCGCTCGTTTGCGCCGATTTGCGCGGAGGTGCAGCCGCGTCAGTGTCAGTGTGAGTGCCAGTGATTGTGGAGGACGCAGTGGCGTAGTGCGGCCCGTCGGGGGCTGGTGTCCGGAGGCTGGGCCCTCGGCGGGCTGGGCTGGGGGCGGCCGTCGCTAGGCCCCTGGGGCCGACGGCCCCGCCGCCCCACCGTGGTCCGGTCCGGCGTCGCGGTGAAGGGTGATCAGTAGTGCTAGGCCCTAGGACGGCACCCAGCTCGGCCAGCAGGCCGCGCGCAGCTCAGCTTGGACTAGCCCGACTAGCCCGTGGAGTGGAGCTCCTCCGGCCCGGTCCGGTACCCCCGCCGCTCAGTGCCAAGCTCCGCGCCAGGCTCCGCGCCGAGCCCGCCCAGCCGATTCCTGGCCCGTGGCCCGCCTGGCCCGCCTTGCCCGCCGCGAGGTCCAGTGCAGTGTGTGTGGTACGCGGCGGCGGCGGCAGAGTGACCTCGCGAGGCCTTAACGCGCTCAACGAGCCCGGCAGCCTGGCCCAGTCAAAGTGCTGAAATTGTATTAATTCCGCAACCCCACCCCCACCCCGCCAGGCCGCCCCCGACCCCCCGGCCGGTGAGTGCAAGGCAGACTTTGGGCGGCCCCGTCCCGCGGCCTTCCAGGCCCGCGCCCGACGATGCCGATTTGAGCCGTGTGAGTGTCCTGCAGGTGGACACCCGCCCCCGCGTCATGTTCCTCGACGGGGTGCGGTGTGCCGCCCCCAGCGCGCCCCCCGGCGCCGCCCCCAGTGCCGCCCCCAGTGCTGCCCCCAGTGCCGCCCCCAGTGCCACCCCCAGTGCCCAGGTGCGGACCAGGACAGTGCCGGCATGACGTGACAGTGAATGTGCTTGAAGTGCGAAGTGTTGCCGCGTTCCGTCGAGTGCCGGTCAAATGAGACAGCGACATGCCGACGTGCCGACATGTCCGTCCCCTTGCATGTGTGCGCCTTGTGTCTGTTTGTCCTCCCCGGTTCGGTTTCCGAATTGCCGTTTCTGCTCCGCCGGAGATTTGAACGCGCAACTGCGCGGCAGCAAGTCTTGGTCGCCTCGCGGACGACGGCGACGCCATGGTCGATGCTCGTGGCATGCGTGACGAGGCCTCGAACGAGACTCCACAGTGTAGTGCCGCGTCCGAATAAACGACTGTGTGCCCGCAGGAGCCGCCCAAGTCCTCGACGCCGTCCTCGACGCCCTCCTCGACGCCCTCCTCGGCGCCGACCGCGGGGCCACCCCCGTGCGGCAAGTTGCTGCTCCTCTCGGCGCCGGGCAAGGACGACGTGGTCCCCGAGGCCGTGTCGGAAGTGGAGGCTGTGGTGGTGTCCGAGCCCGCCAGCGTGGCCGGCGTCGAGCCCGGGCCCGGAGCCCCCACCGCCAGCCCGGTCATCGTGGCCCCGGGCGAGTACATCTCCCTGCAAGAAGAGCCCGCCGAAGTCGGCAGCCCTCGGGGTGAGTTTCCCTTGAGCCCTTGCTTGAGAATCCGCCAGTGACTGTGCGAGTTGCTGAGGGTCTTGGCCTTGCGCAGCGCCCTGCAGCGTGACCATCGACCGGTGGCGCGTGTCCGCGGCGCTGAGCGGCTGGTCCGCGTGCGTGTGGGCGGACGACCCCTGCGTCGGGGACCCTGGCCAGGCGAACGGCGTCACCGTGGCGTCCGACGGCTACCCCTACACCCTGGACGCCGGCATGGCGGCCGGCCCCTTCGACGACGCCATCTTCTCGGACTTCGGCCAGTGCGGCGCGGGGACGCTGCTGTCCGGGAGTGGCGGCAAAGACTCACGGGGCCACCACTCCATCCAGGTCGGCGACAAGGTACGAGCACGCCGTCGAAACCAAATGTACTGCCCGCCATTATTATTACTGTTGTTGTTGTTTTTGTTTTTGTTGTTCCCAGCGATGTTTGACTTATTTCCTTTTGCAGGTTATGCTGTCCGACATGATGCTGGGACTGCCCCCCATGTCGCCGCACCACATGAACAACAACAATAGCACCAGCAACAACAACAAAGTGGAAAGTCAACCGCAGCACCACCTCCACGGCCTGCAGGGCCTCCACCACGACCTGTACCACCAGGACTCCCCCGGGCCGGCGGCCTCCGCCTGCAGCGCGGCCTCGGACACCACGCCGCCGGGCCACGGCCACAACAAGGCCTCGGCCAGTGACGGCAGCCTGCTGCAGCCAGGTAGGTCCAGCCTGAGTGGCTCCCCTTCGTGAGTCTCTGATAAGGTAGGCCTCTTTTCAGGCGATGCGATGTTTAATTTTTCCACTCGTGTTTCAGTGGCGAGCGAGCAAACCACACCCAAAAAGTCGGAGTCGAAAAGCTCCAAGAGCAAGGCGGACAACAACGGCATCAAGAAGAAGAAAACAAGGCAAGTCTTAACCATTCAGTTCTTCTTTTTTTTGCGTGTATCGTGCGTGACACCTGGCAGCCTCCTCTCCACACCTCCACTTCCACTCGGCGTGCGGCGTGCGCGGCGTGTGCAGGGCGTGTGCCGAGACCGCGGCCTGGACCGTGACCATGTAAATCGACTGCCGGTGACGCAGGGGGTCGCGTTCCGTCGCGTTTGGCCACGGCTCTGCCATGGCCCTGCACGCGACCGGGCGACCGCGCGGATCATAGGGGTGGCCCGGAGGGGAGGGGGAGGGGAGGGGTAATGACATTTCGATACTCGTCGCGGATGGCTGGCAAGTTTCCCTCCAGCCTCTTTTGACATCCTATATGCGTTCCGCTTTATTTACATTTTTTATTATTTTTGTGTTTGAGGTGGGCAAAGTAAATGTTATTCTAATGATTTGAAAAAGAGACCCGCTCAGCACAGCAGAGGTCGGAGGTCCTCTCCGCCGTTGTAAGATCACCTCTTAAAACACCCAAAAGGTTTTCGTCGTGTATTTTGAGGAGTCTTTTCCTTTTTAATTGAAATATTCAGCGTCATGTAATGATTTAAGCCGCGGGCAAGGGTTTGCTGCCAATCCAAAATATCCGAGAAAGCGAAATTCAAAGGAATAATCGTTCGATGATGACGCACTTTTGGATTTTAATTTCCGAGCTGGCCCCCTCGCAACAGTTGGCGTGGCGGGGCCCGGCGTGCGGCGTGCGGCGCTGCGCGATGATACCATCGGCCTGCATCGCCTCGCCCAGCACCGCCGCGCCACGCCGCGCCACGCCACGCCAAGCCGCGCCACGCCACGCCACGCCCCGCCACGCCCTCCCGCACCCGCAGCGCCGCCCGCAGCATCGACGCGGAGTCCGCGGCGGCGGGCGGCACAAAAAATGTGGTTGAGGGATGAGAAGAGGGGGGGGGGGGTGGGCCGCCTGGCCGGGGTGGTCAGCGCGGAACAGACATAAGGGTACTCAAATGACTTACAGACTTCTCACGCTCCTATTTTCGCTCTGCCGGAAAAAAAAGATGCTTTGTTTTGTGAAGTGCGTGAGAAAGCCTCACTGTGTAACCAGTGTTGTTTCTGGGCCGCAGGACCACCTTCACGGCCTACCAGTTGGAGGAGCTGGAGCGGGCCTTCGAGCGCGCGCCGTACCCCGACGTGTTCGCCAGGGAGGAGCTCGCCCTCAAGCTCAACCTCAGCGAGTCCCGCGTGCAGGTGTGGTTCCAGAACCGGCGCGCCAAATGGAGGAAGCGAGAGCCGCCGCGGAAGACCGGCTACCTCGGTTCAGGTGGGTGGAGCGAGAAGCAGCCACGCCGCCCAAATGACGGAATGTGAAGAAGTGCAAGACGCGGATTGACACGGCCTACTCGGCGTTGCCACCTGAATGGGTGGGGTCAGCAGAAGTAAGCTGCCACGCCGCACAGTGGGCCAGAAGACCGGCGGAGGCGGCCAAAACTCCCGACGCGTTTTGAGCTCTAGAGTCGCTAAACAGGACTCGAACCGAACGTGTGACCCCACCAATGGACTCGTCGTTCGGAGAGCAATCCATTGGTGGGGTCACACGTTCGGTTCGCGTTTCGCGTTCCATTTAGCGGCCCTAGAGTTGAAAACGCGTCTGGGATTTGGCCCGCTTCCACCGGTCCTGGCCCTCTGTGCGCTGCCGCGCTGCCGCGCTGCCGCACTCCTTGTCGTGCTCGTCTGACGCCCCTCTCGCCGTCTGCAGGCACCTCGAGTCCCAGCCTGGGCTCCCCGTTCAGCACCCTGGGCGGCGGCCTCAGCAACGGCCTGTCTTCCTTCCCGCCGGCCGCCCCCGCGCCGCCCCCGCCACCCCACAGCGTGCCGCTGTCCACCGACCCCTGGGCGTCGTACTCACAGTACGACATCAACCTGCCGTACTCGTCCTCCTTCTCCTCGCCGTCCAGCGCGTCCTCGTACGGCTACGGTGAGTACAGTGTGCCCTCGGCGGCGGCGCGCGCGGACGAGTCCAGACACTGAACGCGTTGTTTCCACCTCCAGGCATGCAGGACGTGTTCCGGCCGTCGCACCACGAGTACATCCAGATCGGCGGTGACGTGGACGACTCGCGGGACTACCAGTCCCTGCTGGGCGGCCACTCACCGCACCACCTCGGCGGCCCCGCCTACGTGGACGCCGTCGACGACATGAACGACAAGTACCCGGACGACGACGGCGGCCTCTTGCACCACCAGCACCACCACGGCCACCACGCGGGCGGCACCAAGGACGTGGACCTCGGCGCCGTGTCCTCGACGGCCGCCTCGACGACCACGACCATCGGGGGGTTCAACGTGATCAACAGGCCGGGCGCGGCGGGCAGCGCGTCGACGGGCGCGGCCAAGGACCAGGGCATGGTGAAGGTGGAGACGGACATGCAGGCCTTCAACCTGCTGCCACCCTTCATGTCGGACTGACGATCGTGGGCCCAGAGCCGAAAGGTGTCCCCGCTGTCGGGCACGTCGGGCACGGACAGCTTGTAGCCTCGCGCCAGGCCTCGCGCCCCGCACCACCCTGGCGGACTGGCGCTCCTTGGACGAGTGCCTCGCGTGGCAGCCCTGGTGGCCATTGCCGCTGTCGGCCATGGCTGCCGGGAAGGGTGGCAGGGCCAAGCTGAACGTGTGCCAGCTTTCGGCTTTTGGCTGGGCCATTTAGTGTAGTTAAATAAATTCGCCATGATATTATTGGTTGTTACGGACGGGACGGGACAGCTACCCGGAAGAGAGGGAAAAATCGCTTTTCTGGGATGGCGAAGTTTCATGCCCTTGTTGCACCGAAACAATAAAGACTGAAGTCTCTAAAACAAACATCGGCTTCGTATTTGTTGAACATGTTTTTTTTTATTTCTTTCTGAATCTCTGTCCTCTAAGGATCTGTCCACTTATATTTTTGTTTAGAGTATTTTGTTGTTTTTGGTCTAAAAACCAAAACCGTAGTGATAAGTTCAGAGTGGCGACGATAGCCGCGACTGTCGGGGCACGCTTGCGAGTTTGCATGTGTGCTTTAATGTGCAGGCTAGAGACGAAGGTTGACAGGCCCAAGATGATTTTTCGCAGTGTGTCCGACCAGCCGCGGGCCAGGCCTCGTCACAGTACTGTAATTTAGAAGCAGCGCCGCCGTCGGCCTCGGCGGGGTGTCCTGCTCAGCCAGAATACACAGACGTATCGTGTTATTTAGTGACTAAGGACTTACCTGGGCCAGGACCTCGGCGTCCCGGTGCCCAGGGTTGTTGCATTCCCGTGCCTTACAGTGTACCGCGTCACAGCGCGAGACTCCTGTCTCGTGGTTTCGACGTACACCTGTACATAGTAGTCTAAGTGTACATAGAGCGCCCGAGGGCCCCTTCTCCAAAGATTTTCATTTCATTTTTTTTTATTAATTTTAGAGCGGGCTCCGCTATGATGCAAAACTGTTTTTGATGATGTGATTGAGTGAAAAGGAAAGTTTATTTGTTTTTGTTCCTGTGCTGCCTGCTTGATGATAATGATTAAGTGTGTACAAATACAAAGTAATTCACGGATCTACGGCAATACTACTTGATCTGAGGAAGGAACGAGGCCAGAGGTATTTTTGTACTTTATTACTTTTGTATTACCAGGTAGCCCTTTTTTGTAATTTGTTCCCTGAGTTTTTAGGATGAAGAGTGGAATATCTGGCGTACAGATTAAAGCCTTGAATTTATGTGTAAATTTGTATCAATATTAGTTTGTTTATCGGCGTAGAGATTGTGGACCAGCACCACAAGTGTATGTACATAATGAAATAGGTAGAGTGTTTTCACACGTGATGTTCTATGTATTAGTGTTTCTTTTCTTTGTACGTTGTTATTATGGTCTTTATTGTATCTATGCCAAAAATACGTCTGCTGTTAGACAATACAAAGTTGTGAGTGTTTTTGTTGCCACAAAACAAAAAATTGACAAACTATTGCGTGAATGTTGAATGATTTATTTACGATGAGAGGGTTTGGACCAGTAAAACAATTAATAGAGGAGTGGTGTACTCAACACCGCTTAAAGAAAATATGTCAGTTCTTTTTAAAATCCTTATTCAACTCTTTCCTGCTGCACTCGCATACTGCACACGTCGTGAGAGGTCGTCGGGTTTCGGCCTGGCGTGGTTGGGGGTCCGCGCAGTGCACACCCGTTCCTGGAGAATGCGGATAGGACCACGGCTTCCGTCGGACCAACATGCATTCAGCATTCCAAACACGGCTCTCGTCGCTCTGTCTCTCTCGCACTCGGCGGCCGTCCCAGTGGGGGTGGCGAGAGAGACAGAGCGAATCAGACAATGCAGAGAGTTTGCCTGCCGGCCGCGTCGGCTCTGCCCCGTTTGCAGAGAAGATGAAGCAAGTCTTCGTCCTTGCCTAGGTCCTTGCCTAGGTCCTTGCCTAGGTCCCTGCAGAGATCCTCCCGCTATGCTGAGAAATCGCGTCGCTGTATTTTCTCGGTCCAAAACGGTTCATGTCCCACGGGGCGGCGGGCGGTAGGCGGGCCAAGCTAGCCCGGGCCGTGTGCAAACTGCAAACTCGAGGAGTGTGCTTGGTGGCCTACCCGGGCGGGCGGACCGAACAAGCGACCCAACCGCGGCAGAAATAACCAGCCATTGGCGGCAGCCTGATGGAATATTGGACCGCCAGTCATATCGCAGTGGGTTTGCTTGCCTTACCCGCGGGCCAGTCCACCCCGGCGCCATGGCGCTGCAAAGTTGGCGGGGGGCTGCATATCTGCATGCACGGTGCGGCTGCAGTGGTGCAGAGACTCGCTGGGGCCTCTAGCTGGTGGCTGTGGGGGCGTTGAGTAGGCAGAGAGTCAAACGACGGCGAGCACAAACAACACCCAAGTTCTTCGACTCACGGCGCTATTATTGGCCCATCATAGGCCGTTCCCGCGAAGAGGAGTAAAAACTTTTCGGCTGAAATTTTTATGTTCGGGATTCTTTACCCCCTGGGCGCGGGTTTCCAACCCCAACCCGTGCGAGACGCTTACCTCATTGGAGCCACTCCGCTTTGATTACGTTCCCGTCCGTCTATATTCCGCGTGTTTGCACGAGGTGCACCAGCGGCAAGACTGCCAAGGCGAAAATCTCATTTTTTTTGCCCTGAAAGCGGCGCCGAGGTGCTCCGCCGCGCCGCCGTATTTGCCTTGATCGTCTGCTTGCTTCTCTCCATCTCTCTTCGCCTTGGGCGTTTTCCTCTTCGCTCTCTCTCTCTCTCTTTGCCGGGCTGGTCGTCCAGATTGTCGTCTCGGCTCGGCCCCCTTACCTTTTGCTGTTGTGTGTGCCGGGGCGCCGCCTCCGCCTGTCCGAGGCCCGCGACAGGGCCGCGCGCTCCTACACTCGCTCCTGCAAGGACGACAAGGACCGTCGCCTTTATTGCCAGGAAGGCGCGCGGCGCGCGGTCTCTCTCGCACCCCCGGGACGCCCGGGACGCCCGCATGCGTGTGAGAGAGACAGAGCGACATGTTTGGAGTCAGCCTGTCCGCTCCAAGGGAGCCCTAGCCCTGCTGGCAGGGCACTGCTAGGCACTGCATGTGCAGCCGGTACGGCGACACGGCGCCACCCCGCAGTGTGCGTCACTCGGGAGAGAGAGAGCGAGCGTTTCGCAGTGTGAGAGTGTCGCTGTGTGGGCCACGCTTTTAAATTGGCGAGCCATACGGCCTCGACCAATAGAGCAGCGCCGGCGCGGCGCCGCCGTCACGGGGAGACCCTTTTCATCGGCGTCGCTGCGTCTGCGCGCAAACAAACATTATTTGGCGGGACTGCGCGGTTGGCGGGACTGCGACGCCGCGCCGCGGGCGAAGCGGGCACGATGTAACGACCCGGGTATTTGTTAAAAGTCGCGACGCTGCAAACGGAGCGCGGCACGCACGTCAAGTTGGTACTGACGAAAAACTGAGTGACTGACTGTTTGGTAGCACCAGCCTTGCAAGGTTGGTCAAACAGTTTGGAAGCGACGTCGCGTCAAAATGCTATACAAATGTCGAAAAATTCAATTTGCATCATTTTGCAGACCACTGCCGCGTCTGACCCCTCCCACCCAAAGGCGCGCGCTTTTTGCTGCCAGCCCCTCCTGCCCCTTTTCTCGCTGTGCAAACACGCGTCCTTGTTGTCAGTGTAGGCGAGGGGTGAAGGTCGGGCTGGCGGGGCGCCGCGCCACGCCGCGCATCCGGGCGGCCGCGTGGCACCGCGTGGCCAGGAAGGCCGGAAGGAAGGACGGCAAGGTGGTGCGGAAGGCCGTGGCTGAGGCCGTGACCGAGGCCGCGGCGGAAACGCATGAGCGAATCGTCCTCCTCGAAAAGTCCCACGTGCTGCCGCTGCGCTGTGGCACGCGCACGCCGCGCCACGACGACGACGCGCTGGTTCCTGAAGGGTTGTGTTGCGGGTGTCGCGGCCCGCCGGCTCGCGGCGCCGCGGCAACGCGCGGGTGGCGCCGTGTGGCGCCGTGTGAAGGGGGGTGGTGGCGCCTAAGTGAGGCGTGGTGGGGCGGGGCGGCGGGGCGCGCCGGGCGTCACTTCGTCCGGCCCGCGCTCCTGCCAGTGTAGGCAGACCCGTCCGGCAGAGAACACCACAACCCCCCGGGCCGCCTCCCGGCGCCGCGGCCCTTGCACGTGCGCCGTGCTGCCCCGGCACCCCTCCGCGTAGGTCCGACCCCGTGCCGGTGTCCGTGTCCTCAGACGCCGTTCTTCGCGCGTTCCCCTCGACGCCTCGGCGTGCCCGCCTTGGACTTGGTGCTCAAGGCCCCGAAGTCCTGTTGGTTCTCCGCGACGTCGCCGACGACGAGGACAGCGACGACGAGGACGGCGACGACGAGGACGGCGACGACGCCAGCGCCAAGTCGCACCAACCGTATTTGGACGCCACGCCGGCTGAGGTAGGATGCCATCTCCGGTAAGCTAGTTGACGTTGTCTGACGGCTCTTGGAAGACGTCCCCCAACCCTCGAACTGTACGCGCCGGCCCGGCCCGGCCCGCCTATCGCTGCCAAGCACTAGCCCTGATCGTGAACCGTGGCCTTGGCGGCTGGCGGCCCTGGCGGCCTTGGTGGTCCGCGCCCGTCGCTCGATGCAGGTGCCGAGAAAAGGGACAGTGATTGTTTTCCGTGGCTGTGAATGGGAGCTCCAATTAGCGTAGCGGCGCGCGGCGTGGCGCGGCGTGGCGCCTACACTGTCCAGCGGGCCGCGCGGACCTCGAGGCGTAGTCTCCCTCTCCTTAGTGTCCTAGCCGCGCCGGGCCACGCTGCAAGCGGCAGACCTGTCCGTCAGCCAGCTAGCTTTCATCGCTCTGGGTCGGAGCACGTTTTGAGCTCTACAGTCCTTCAAAAGACTTCCAGCGGGACGCAGAGCGTGGCAGAGCGTGGCAGAGCGGCGCCGCGGTGCCAATGAAGTCCCCCTCGAGCGGGTCGAGGGGCATTCGTCAGTGTCGTTTGCATTTGAAGACTGTACTTCTTTGGGCGCGGATCGCGGCCCGCTGGCACACTGTGCGGCTGCCCTTGTCCATGCGTCCCTGGTCGTCCTGGCCGCCCCGGCCGCCCCGGCGGCGTGACGGCCGTGACGGTGACGCGCGTGCCGATAGCAAAGGATGGCGGCATGGCCGCGGTGCCGCGGCATGGCGAGCCGTGACGCGGAGGCGTGCTTATCGAGTGTCCATTGTTTGTCTGTTTGCAAGGCTTTCTAGTCGACTTGTTCTCCTTTTCCCTTCTCGTCGTTTTGTTATTTTGTAATCGAACTTATCACTTCCGGCCGTTTGAAGAATCCGCGGCCGTGATAGGGGCCGCCGCCGCCCCATCCCGGCGTGGGCGCAATCGGGCGCGCTTGGGGGGGGGGGCGTCTTTT